CGAAGAAAACAACACTTCGTTCCCTAACGATGGCAGATCATGTTCTCTATGTTAGAGCTTGATTTTTTTGGTTTAAACCTATCTCACACATCATGTTAAACACATTTGGGCAATCAAAAGTAAACAATAATGCATATATAAATTCTAATTGAGAAATTTTACCAAACCGGTGGGCTTGAATGAACGATTCCAGACGTGGACAAACTTGCTTCTTGGCTTGGTAGTGATCCTGGGAACTTCAGGAATGCGTTTGGATACTTGGTTTCGATTGAAGGATGCTACAAATAGGGTTTTATGTTTGCCCTAGCTTGAGAAAATTTGAGGTTTTTGAGAGTTCTTGTAGGCAGCCTGTGTGTGTCCTTTGATGTATGAATATGTTCTTTATTTATAGGCTATGAATTAGGTCAACAAACATGAGCTAAATCTTTGTACTTCATGATAAAATATTTGATTGGGTATTTTGCATAAAATCTTACCTTTTTGAGCCAATCATGTACCAATCAATCCCACATGTTTTTGATAATTGATCATCTGATTTTTTTAGCCTTGTGATTTGATTTAGAACAAAGGTCATGCGCCTCATATCTGGGCTTTAGTATTTTATTTGATATATTTTGCTTTTAATTGAATAAAATCAAAATAAAAAAAATTAAAAAACCACAAAAATAAATAGATGGACTTAGAGGTTCATGATGAGGTCACAAACACATTTGGACCTTAAAAGATAAGCCCATTAGCCCAAAAAATCAAATTTGTTCAATTTGAGTTTTATGCATTTTCTCAAAATTGCCCAACTTTCACAAATCATATCTCACTCAATTTTCATCACATGAGAGTGATCTTTGATTTAGAAACCTCATGATGTCCTCTACAAATTTCATGTTGGTCATTTTTTCATTTTAAGCTTTTATCTTGATGTAAAGTGTTTTGTCAAAAAGTGTCTTTTTGTTGACTTTTAAAAATGACCTGTTATGTTTTGGCTCATATATCTCAAATGAAGCATTTTTTTACCTTGAGCTTAGAGAGACCAAGTTGTAGAGAATTGAAGTTTCATCAAAGTGGGCTTTGGTTGAGAATTTTCTGATAAAGTATGTGAAAGTTATGATTCGTCAAAGTTTAGTTGACTTCTCCTAATGAAAACCCTAATTTAGTAACTTTTGAATTTTGATGAATCTTGAGGTTTCTTGATGATTCATGATCAACCCTTGATCAAATGATGAATGTGAGTTCAAAATATTGATGTTGACCAAAAATCTTGAAGTTTGACTATAAATTGGTCAAAGTTGACTTTTTGCCCAATATAGTTAATTTTCAATCATCTGAGCATATGACTAGGAAAACTTATGCTGCAAGGCTTGAAACTTGGTATGAGGATACTTTGAATCATATGAGACACCATGAAGTCCATTTTAGGCATTATAAGTCCAATTTTCCCTGAGAAAACCAAAACCCTAGTTGTAGCCCACTACTTAGGAGGAGGATTCATCTGATTAATTCTTGAGTAGTCTTGAGTACTTGATAACCTTAGGAGCATTAGGAGGTATCTTGAATCATATTGTATTGAATAATGGGAGGGAAATTTTTGGGGTACAATAGCTGCCCCTGTTCAATCGTCTTAAATCTGAAGAGTTAGATTAACATGCTCGCGATTCGGGATCTGAAGGTGGAAGAGGATTGAACACTTAAGTGCCCAAAAAATTTCACTCACTTATGCACGAAGTAACACTGTTGGTTGATTATAAAGATTGAATGAGCTTAAAGATTTCATTCAGATAGGTGATATATTGTCGTCAGAGATTGGCTTATAGATGCCATCCAAAGTAATTCTTGATAGGAGTATCAGAATGAGTCTATGCCTGACTGCATCTGAAGAATGATTTTCAGAAAATCTCTGAAGTAAAATGCTTTTCGGAGCACAACCCTGAAGGAGAGGCTTTTCAAAATTAATTCTCTAAAGGGGAATTATTTTCATAATAAACCTTTGAAGGAGAATGCTTTTCAGAATGAAGCCTTGAAGGAGATGCTTTTCAGAATTCAGTCTCTGAAGGGAAAATGCTTTTCAGAATAAACCTCTGAAGGAGAATGCTTTTCAGAACCAAGCCCTGAAGGAGATGCTTTTCAGAATTCAGTCTCTGAAGGGGAAATTCTTTTCAGGATAAACCTTTGAAGGAGAATTCTTTTCAAAACGAAGCCCTGAAGGATATGCTTTTCAAAATTCAGTCTCTGAAGGGGGATGCTTTTCAGAATAAACTTCTGAAGGAGATGCTTTTCAGAATGAATCCCTGAAGGAGATGCTTTTAGAATAAACCTCTGAAGGAAATGCTCTCAAGAATTCAGTCTCTGGGGGGAATGCTTTTCAGAATAAACTTATGAAGGATATGCTTTTCAGAACGAAGATTGCTCTGAGGAGAATTTATGGTCAACTTGAACTTTATCCCGACTCCTAGAGTCTTTAGTAAATGCTAATCCCATTTTCATGCATATATTTGTAAACAATAATCATATTCAAATGCATATGTTCATTCAATATAATCATTGGACGTTTTTGAAAACAAAACAGAGAAAGTAAAAACAATTTTAAATTTGAAATTGATTGTATTAATTTAGAAGGTTTTCCTATAAACAGACAGTTTTAAAGGAGACAGAAATCCTAGTAAGAGGAAATCATCGTAAATTTCAAAAAGAGGGTACAAATAAAAACAAAGAAAAACATATATGTGGAAATGATCCCATCAAGTTTCAACTCTGTTATTGCCCATATGTCTTCAAGCATCTCATCCCTTGCTATCAGAAGAAGTTGATTGAATTGATATGTACCATTTGAACATGACGTTAGTGATTATGCTGGTTGTAAGTAGATGGGAAATCCAACGGGACATAGTCGTACATTTTAATCCCTAACTTTTGCCTAGACTTCCCTTTTGGGTTTTCAATCCACCGGGATATCCTTTTTTGCCCACGCCGCTTTTTCAGGATTTCGACTTTCCGGATGTACAATTTATATATATATATATATATATATATATATATATATATATATATATATATATATATATATATATATATATATATATATATATATATATATATATATATATATATATCCCTAATTTTTTCCCGACCCCTTTTGGTTCGCCAGAATGCCCTTATTTTTGCCTAGGTCAGTCAACCTAGCGAGTCTCTTTTATGCATAGTAATTTTTGACTATATCCGTGTTCACAGGGTATGGAAAATCTTCACTATCCATGGTGGTAAGTATCACAACACCACCATAAAATATATTTTTGATCACAAAGGGTCCTTCATATGTGGGAGTCCATTCGCCCCTAGGATCAACTTGTGGTAGGATAATGCACTTTATTACCAACTCACCAGCCTGGTACACATGATGTCTGACTTTCTTGTTAAAGGCCTTGATCATGCGCTTCTAATACATCTGATCATGAAAAATAGCCATAAGCCTTTTTTCATCAATCAAATTTATCTGGTTGAGTCTAGTCTGAATCCATTCGTCTTCGTCTAAACCTGCATCTTTCATAATCCTTAAGGAAGGAATATGGACTTTGATAGGTAAGACAACCTCCATACCGTAGACTAGAGAGAACGGGGTTGCCTCAATTGATGTACATACTGAAGTGCGGTAACCATGAAGAGCAAATGGTAACATCCCATTCATCTTTGGTCGATATGGAGAAGACTTGTGATGCTTAATCTTGAACTGCATGCAGAGTTCCGTGATCATAGTATTATTGAGGTTGGTACCATCATCCATGATGATCCTTTCAGGTATGTCATACCGACAGATAAGGTTATACTTAATGAACCGAGCCATAACATTCTTGGTAACAGAGGCAAAAGCAAGAGTCGCCATCGCACTTTATTATTTCCAAGGGAAAAGTGAAAAGAGAGAAATAAAACCCTTTAAATATGCAATGTAAACTAATACTTAAAAGTAATGAAAATACAATGCATTTTTGAAAGAGATCTAAGGTTCAGAGGTTGGTTATACAAAGGGAAGGTACTACCACCCAATGCATCTGCGGTACTCCGCAGGAACCTTTTGAAATATCTGTTTTTTGGTTAAAATTGTTTGTTTGGTTAAAATTGTTTGTTTGGTTAAAATGGGTGTGGATGAGATTTTAAAGATACGACGACCTAATATCGAAGTTTTGACTTAAAAGGTGTGAGTTTTAAAATTGAGTCTCTTAAGAAAATTAACTTAAGATTAACAAAATAGTAAAACAAAAATGAATGAAGGGATTCGCCTAATCGTATAAGATGTATTTGATGACATGAAGTCAACAAAATTAAAACATTTCCCTTAGATTTTAGACGAACGAAAGATATAAATATTAAATGATTGAGAATAAAGTTAATTAGAATGACAATTGAATAATTAAATAAACAAGAACTAAATAATAAATTAAATTATAATAGCATGTATTTTTGAACAATTAAATAAAAAATTAAATAAAAGACTATTTAGCATGTATTTTTAAACAATTATATAAATAACAATAATTAAATAAAGACTAATTTATAATAGCATGAAATAATTGTATAAAATAAACTAAGCTATTTTTTTAAGAATTTTTTTTGAATTAAGACTAAATAAAGACTTAATAATTAAAAAGGGAGAACCAAGAATCGAACTTTAGTCCTTTTGGTTATAATCATTGTGCTCAGCCACTAAACCATTGATATTTTCTATTATGAACTCTCTAAAATAAACAAAGAAAGTAAAATAATTGGGTTGGGCCCTAAAACTTAAGCCCAAACCCGAATCGGACCTTAGGGGAAATTGAAGGGTTTTCGAAACCCTAGATACACAAAAGGAGGCATTGGATTGTTGTTAACATAGGGAAAGGAACATTTTCAGATTTTGATTATCATCATTTTCAATAATATTCAATTTAAAGGAAAAAATTTTAAACAAAAAAAGTAACACGATTCTTTCTCTCTCTTGCTAAACCGACTACTTCCTCTCTTTGCTTCATCTTCTACTCAAGTGACAAAACAACAACAACAAATCCGCTACTCTCGGTGACAGTGGCGAAGGTTTGGAGAAAAACTCTAGAATTATGGATGCAATAGTCGATATTGTCAACTAGGGTTCCACCAACTCTGAGTGAGTGGTCTTCATTCTCAGGTGAAGCAACACGGAAGACCAGTGACCGAGAAATTGATCCGAAAATGTCTGGAATCTGTGAGAGAAATGTTGTGTTGCATTGAACTAAGAAAGAAACTGTACAAATGAGATAGATTAGGAGGTGAAGGCAAATGTGATTTGTGGAGGAGGAGGTATTGCTGGATTGCTCACGGAACCAGCAAGGTTTGAAAAGGGTTTTCAGAGGCGGATCAGATGAACCGAAGAAGGGAAGTGGAAACAGTAGCGACCAGGGGTGAGGTAATATTCTTCTTCTATTTCTTTCCTTTTGTTTCTCGTTTCCGCTTTGATGCCTCTTATGCGTTTTATTGTGATAAACAGAAGCATCGTTGAAGTTGTCGTGTGTTCTAAAATACCGTTTAGAATTGCAGGTTAATGAAACTGGGTGAAATGAAATGGTTATTCATTATGTGATAGGTTATAGTTTGTGACTGAATATATTTAAGGGAGGTTATAATTTTCAGTCTATGAACTCTGTAGGTTGGTGTTGGGCGGATACAGGTGGTTCTGGTTTGATGAAGATTACAGTGGGTTCAACTTGGGTAACAGATTGAAGGTAGTTGGTATATTGATCTCCACATGTAAATGATTTCGTGACAAAGCTCAACAGGCTAAGGAACAAGATCAGAGTCTCTAAGAACATTAATGGCAGCTGAGGTAGTAGACACACCTTGATATTTTACAATAATTAGTGACTTAACCTTGTAATGGTAGCCTTCGTTCTGTCTATCTTTGTTTCATCATCACCTACCTTGCATTCTTGATATTGTAGAGCTGGAAGTTTCCTTTCATGTTCAATCTTAACACTCTCTATGCCTTTCACTTCCTGACATAATTTGATTTCCCAAGCCAAAAGTCGGTCCAAAGTGGAGCAGAGGCTCTTCAGACCGCCCAGTGTTTCAAGTGAACCAACGTCGACGAAGTACTTAACTGCCAATGGCGGTTTTGAAGTAGAGGGAAAGGTTGATATTTATGGACAAGAGAAGGGAGTATTGAGGTTGGGGATAGAAGAGGGCGGAGGGAATAGAGAAGAAAAGAGATAGAAGGTTGTTTTGTTTATAAGATGGAAACAAAAGCAGAGCAAAATTTGGAACAGAGAGAAATTAGCATGAAAGAGAGAGAGACAACAACTGGTCCTTGTACATTTTTGTGTTACCTCTGTTAATTATTAAGGTTTGGTATGGATTATTTGTATTTATTAATTCTGATTATCTATTCGTTGCAATTCATAATAACAAGTCATAGGTTGTTAACGTTCAAGGTTGTTTCCTTTTGTGGCATGTAGAATATTTGAAGTTGATGTATTTTTGAAGCTATGAATCGACTACAATGCTACTTTGGTTGATGCTGAGTTAAGGTTTTGTTGTGCAGGTTTAGAATTTGGTTAACAGGTCGGTGTCGTTGTTTCGGAAGAATGTTAAGCTGTTGTTATTATTGTTAGTGCTTACGAAACAGAAGGGAGAACAGTTGAGTCTATTGAGCTAGTGGGAGGAACAATGAGTTCTATGTTGCGGAAGAAGGAGATAGTAGAAAAAGGGTAGCGATTTTCTGTATGAAATTTGTATGCTCAGAAAAGATTCGAAGGTATTTTTATCTCTGAATTTTTTTGCGTCATTTTCTGTACATTGCTGTCGGTGCTTATTATTATTACTATTCTAAACATTTCTAAATATCCACATTGCGGCTACTCCAGAACACAACAAAGTGATAAATCAAGCAATCATATGGAATAAAAGTGGTGCAAAAAGAAGATTCAAATTACTGCTATTATGCAAACAAGGAAACAGATATTGATATATGTATGAGAAAAATTATGCAGAAACAATAGGGAGAAGAAATACCTATTGGAGTCTCTCTGATGGAGCTTCAAAAACAGTAAGCTCTCCTTCCCTCTCTTATTGATGCTCAAGCTTCTTTTTACTCTAATTCTTGCTGTGACTCTTGAACAAAACTTCCTCTCCTTTTTTCTGTTATGAAGGTGGCTTTTTATAGAGAAAGAACAAGGAATTTAGGGGGGAAAGTATTAGAATATTTGAATTATTTTGACAAACTATTTTGATGCCTTCTTGATGCAGTTTTTCTTTAGCCATTTGTGTGAAATTTTAGTCTTGTTCTACTTGGTATTTCTATGCAGGTTGGAGCAGGGCAGCAGGCTGTTAGCATACTGTTTATAGCAGTTTTGTTTGTAGTTTTATAGCAGAATTTGGACTGATCTATAGGCTGCTATTTGGACTGGTTTGTAGCATTTTTATGGAAGTTTTGGGACTATTTTGTAGGCTGCTGTTGGGTTAATTTGCAGGCTGCTATTAGGCTGATTTAATTGTTGGACATCAAGGCTTTTTTTTAGCAAGATTGAAGCTTTGAAATTAATATCAATAGGTCTAGAATTTAACTTTATATGTAACATGAATGGAAACTTGTCTTGAATATAATTCTCTCAATTTCTTTGTAATTGTAAACATTTTGGATCATTATTTGTCTTGATGAAATTCAAAATCTTCCACTTGAATTTGGAAAGGATTTGATTGATACTTGAATGAATTTTTGAATGATGAATAAACAATAATGCAAGCCTTAAGACCTCAATCTTGTATCTTGTAGTAGAGATCCAAATGAATTACATGAATTGACCTTGTAATGAAGTTGTAACCATCATGTATTAATTCTTGTGACGAACGATTATTTTGAATCAAATTTCTCTTTTCAATATCTCCTTTAATAAATGCCTCATGTGAATTCAAATGGCCATGATGGGAATCCATCAAAGTAATCACACAAAAATAATATTGAATAAATGCAATGTGATGAATGATTTGAACCTTGAATGAACCCTTTTGATAACTTTTATTTAGTCAACACTTGAATTCACATGATAAAAATTCCAAGTATTCTAAATAAATTCTTCCAAAGCAGTCTTGAATTTTAATCACCCCACTCTAACGAATTTCACCGCGCGTCATGTAAGTATATGAAATCAAACCAAACTTAAAAGCTTCAAATGATCACTAGAAGAGGGATTTGAGGCGAAATGTTATCGCATTGAGAAATACTTAAAGATCAAGAAACTCTTAAATCATGACAACATCCTATAAAGTCTTTTCATGGCTTTCTAAACACAGTTTGTCTTCAACTTTTAAAGAAAACTTGCAGACGACTTTTGGTCGAAGTGCTAGGAATTAACTTGTATAGCCTGATTTTTCTTGTATTTTAAGGCAAGGTAAAACACACGTGAACCAATGGTAATGGAACCTTGACTATTTTTCTTGAAGAATTTCGGAGAAGCTTGAGGCTACTTGTTGAACAGAGCATGGAAATAAACACACGGTTCTCTGGAAATTCCCCGAAACAAGCTATCACACCTGATACAACTATGATCAAAATGAGCCTAAACGATATTCAAGACTCCATGCACTGAGATTAGAAGTTGTGCCTTGATGAATAAGTATTTGAGAATCAATGATCAATTGTACTTCTGGCTTGAGAGACTCAAAACCCTAATTGAGGCGTGACGCCTGATGCTCTTGATTCAAACCAGTTTCTGCACATGAAATCAAAGGAAAAAAAAACTACAACTTCATGCTTGATTAGAAGTTAGTCATGCATAAGATAAAATGTTCACAACACTCGATAATCTCTGCACAGGAAATGCTCGAAGGTGAGAAATTCAAAACCGACCATATTTTGTGACCTTGATGTATATAAAAAATGCAAATGCAGATGGGATCTTAGGTCAAAATTTGGGGTATGACAGCTGCCCCTATTTAAGTTTCTTCTATCCCGAGATATGAAGATTGAAATCTTCGTCTCGACAAGATTGAAGGGACTTAATACAGAATACACAATTTTGGCCCTAAGATACCGCCATTGTGTTTATGATATGAGATGAATGTAATATTTGAATCTTATGGGGAATGACTTCGAGAGAAAACAATTTTTTTTGACTCTAACAAAGAAAATGACTTGCATAGGCCACGAAAAGATAAATGGTTACTGACCCAAGATGATGGTGGGTTTACAACTCAGGGTCAAAAGTAAACAAAAGATATACCAACTTTTACTGATAGTGAACTACCGATTTTTACTGAAGGTAGAGATTTCATAACAAATTTCTCTGCGGGACTTTTCTGGAGAGATACCATTTGCTGCTAAAATAACATATTGTTGTGGATACACAAGTTTCTCAAGTAAATAGGCTACCACTTGCTATCTTCAAAGGATATTAATAAACACACAAGCTGCTCATGAAGAGTCTGTCGCTTGCTATCTTCCAAAGATACCAATAACACAAGCTGCACATGAAGAGTCCGCCACTTGTTATCTTCCAAAGATATCAATAATATAAAAGCTATTCATGAAGAGTCCACCACTTGTTGTATTATAAGGATATCAATAATACACAAGCTTCTCATGAAGAGTCTGCCACTTGTCATTTTCCAAAGATTCAATAATATACAAGCTGCTCATGAAGAGTCCGCCACTTGTTGTATTCCAAGGATATCAATAATACACAAGCTGCTCATGAAGAGTCCGCCACTTATTATTTCCAAAGTTATCAATAACACACAAGCTGCTCATGAAGAGGCCGCCGCTTGCTATCTTCCAAAGATATCAATAACACAAGTTGCTCATGAAGAGTTCGCCACTTGTTGTCGCATCGATATTCTAGAAGAATGTTATGATAACACTACTAGGGAATAAAGTTCTTCTTCAATGGGGGAACCATGAATAGGTCCTTCCTGAGGAGATCAAGTATTTAAATGCGCAAAATAAATGCGCTCTTCATCTAGGTTTCACAGCCTAGAGAAAACCTCGGGGTAACATATGCAAGAGACAAAGCTCAACCTAGGAATGAACCGGAGAGAAAACAATCAAACAAGACTCCACCCAATGAGGAAACAACTCAATTGGGGATTTATCTTATCCAGAGATGGAAAAGGAAGGCTAAATCAAGACTCTTCCACGAGAATTAGCTCAGTTGGGGAATTAGAAAGGAGGCACACTTTCTGCTTAAGTTGATACTCTATTTGGAAAGAGCAAATATGCTATTTGAATAGACATAACCAAGGTATATGAACCCAATAACATCGACAAATATGAGTGTGCATGCATGGTGCAAGTGTGAATGAATAAACGGATGTCATGTATATGCTGATAAAACAGATAAACTGGAGATGATAAGACATTACAAAACAACCAGATACTCGGCTAATCTCAAAGATATGAGAAAAAAACTGGAGATAGAATAAAAAGGCATCATCAGAGCGTATCCTATTACAAGGCTCAAGTCTCTTTGAAGAGGACCATGACCAAATGTCAATCTTCTAACATCAATAAACCACTGACATGATAACAAAATGTACTTCACTTTGGTTAGGGAGAAAAATCTTGCTCAACTAGAGATAACTGAATCAAGGCTTAACCGGGATTGCTGGGGAGTCACCAAGTTTAGTACTCTACTGGGAACATAAGATCACACAACCAACTCCTCATGATGATTTTGGAAGAAAGAACCATTATTCATCATACAAGGATGAGTTACTATATTGTTTTGCATTTCAAGGCTTAACCATTCTCGGAGCAACTGTTAATATTCCTTCCAGTATTCACGCCACAATTCAAGATAGGAATACTCTATTTAACTTTGTTTCAAATATTGCTATAAAAACTGAAATTTTGTCCGACAGATAAAACACAAAAATATAAATGCTCAAATTCCATTAATAAGATGGTAGTCCACTATTGGCGCGACTTCAAAGGTTTACAAAAATTTGGAAAATGATACATGAAAGAAA